CCTGGAGATAACTTAGTTAAAACCCACAAGCCTGAGTTTCTGCTAGCAGGTCAGTGCGTATCTAGCTGCTTCCACAAATTGGTCACATTTGGTAGGGGAGCAAATATTCTGCTTATTGGAGTGATAACTGTTGCTTTGGTTTTTAATATTTCTTTTTAAGAAGCAATGGAAGGGGGGAAAAAAAATAAAAATAAAAAGGTGGAAAACTTTGCTAGGGTTTGCAGTACTGGGTATTGCCCTGTTTGCATTTTTGTAATGAAATTTGTGAGGACTGCTATTTGACTGCTATTAATATCATTTCATCCAGAACTGCTGTACAAAGTAGCTGCTAATTTATAGCCCTCTTCATCTCTGGGGATGACACAGTGTCTGTGCCAGGTGGATTTGAAATACCTGCCCTTCTCTTCCCACACAACCACAGGCCATCCCCTAAGCTCTCTAAAGAAAAATAGTACCACATCTCCTAATACTTTCAAGTGACAGGGAAATTGGAAATCTATGATGCTTTTATTATAGAATATCGTGTGGCTTGAAACTTGGAAGCAGCAGCCTGGTTTTCTCCCAACTTTTACTCTGCTGGATGATTTACACCTATGCAAAAGGGTTTGCTGACAGACCATAATTAGAGCTTTTATTTTGCTGTGTTGGAAAGGATTTCTCAACATGCACAATCAAGTCGTACAGGAGAAAGTTGGGGAAATTAAAAAGTGTTGGGAGTGTTAGTTTGGAGCCAGAACAAGTAGCTTTAGCCTTCCTTTGGTGACTGTAATGATACAGTAAAGATACGTTAGGGCTTGGTGAAACAACCTTTCCTCCTCGTCTTGCAGCTTTGCTTACATCTGCCAAAAATACTTATAGAAGAGAGATGCTCACTGCATTCAGCCCTCTCTGTGTGTGGAAGGAGTGCCAACAGCTCTGGAGGATAAGATGTGAGGCTGTTTATGTTTATTATAATGGTCTAATGCAGCACAAGTTTCCATCCTACAGATAAGTATTAGCTAACACAGCTGGTGAATGCATCAGTCTGGATCACCTGTTTCTGGAAATATCCTTAGTTCTGCTGCAGGATCATCCTGGCTATGTAAGAGGCACCCAGAAGTAGTGGGTTACTGTTGAAGTGTGGACTTCTCTGTAGCACCTTTGGAGATGCCCCCTCCACAGACTGTGAAGGACCTCTGCTGACTTTGCTCTGAAGTTAAGCATCTTGATTAGGTGAAGGAATGAGAACAGGAGCCTCAGGGTCTAAGTCAGGGTCTTGCTACTCCATGGCTCTGCCTGTGGCCAATGCATGAAGTTTTATATACCCATATTTGAAGTTTGGTAAGGCCTATTATCAGGTCCCACAGACACCAGTCCTTCACAAAACCCTGCTCTAAGACAAGAAAGAGACTGGCTAAAGTCTTATAGTGTGAACAATTTCCTTATGCCTGCTTGATGCCCCCTTACTCATTTCTGTCTCCAATCACAATGGAGTATCTGTAAAAGAAGTTGCTCAGCCTATTTCTGCTTAAGCCACAGATCATGCAGCTCAGTGTTCTGCTCCACATAGTGTAATTTTTAACCTCTTTTTTTTTTCTTACAAGAAAACTGCAGCACTACAGCTGCTGTGCAAAACACAAGCATGTGGTTTAAATATGCTGCATTACCTGGACTAGCTCTGGCCAAACCTAAATGCATAAAGCTACTCCATTGCTCTGCAGTTGCACTCTACCAAAGCAGTTAAGAAATCTAATGAAGTTTAAGCCAACACAGTGAAGGTATCCTGCATCTGTAGCTGAAAAACTTCTTATTGCTCTTATGTTAAGGATCATATGAAATTAAAACAGGCCACATCCTGTATTACAAATGGAAATTCCTTTCTCCTGCTGAAACTAGAAAACAAAGCTCTTTGGGATTATTGAATGGCAGCAGGCATGGTGAGGCAGAGACAAGTCTTTCCTTTGTCATTCTTTGCTGTTGAATTTGAGGTCTGATTACTTTCTGTTGACTTGGTCATTCACCAAGTGTCTCAAAGAACCAGCACACTCAGTAGTTCAGCTCCTCCATTCTGTCCCTGCGGAGAAGGGAAGCAGCCGTCGTGGCATCTGCCTCTTGCCTGGGCTCATTTTAAAACTGGATAAATAAATTAGAGAGATGATCATTCCAAGAACAAACTGTAAGCAGCTGCACACTAGAGATTATGGACTAGGGGGAGCAAACTTCTCTGGTAAAGAAAACAGCAGCCATAGGAAACTCTCAGGTAGCCGTGTGGCATCTCCTGTGTTATTTAGTGCATTGTCTTTGCAAACTTTGTGCATCCAGAAATGCACAGTGAGGGATGTTCTTCTTCCTGAGAGATGTCCTTTGTGTTTTTGTGCTTGGAGTGCTTATATTCACAGTAGCACTGCAGGGAGATAAGCCTTTTACAACATTTATATTTCAGATATTTGGGACCTCTACAGAGTGAGTATTTAGCTTGCTATTGTGTGGAGGGCTTTTTCAGAAGCAAATTTTATTCATCAGAGACACCCCTTTAATTAACTTCCACACTTCCATAGAGAGAGGAATATAAAGAAAGTTAGTAATAATAATAATAATAATAACAACAATAACAGTGACATATCTTGTTACCATTACATATTAAAAGAAAATGCTGATGGGAGTGGAGTTTCAAGGCCTCTTTTTTAATGAAGATCTTAATAGCATTTAATGTAAATTAAATATAACCACTGTCTGATTGCTGAGCATATCTCTGAGGCTGAAGAATAAAAAGTTAATTGTGCTGACAATATGTGGAAAGTGCCAAAATCAAATACCAGCATGTGGGTTAAAGTGCATTTTGAATTAAGAAGTGGAAGGCAGAACTTCTATTTTCTGTATCCCTGCTCCCAGTTATTTTGCAGCAGTTCAGTGCAAAGTTTGTGCATGTCATGGATTTATTACACAGGACTTCTAACAACATTTACATTAGAATGCAAATGAAGCAGACTTTATTTAACTTTAGAGATTGGGAAGGATCAGATACATGAGCCTAACAAGCTATTTTACTTTGGGAATGGGGAATTGCTGGTATGTAAATCCCTGACTTGTTCTGCAGGCAGATAATTTAATGAGGTCTGCAAAATGACTGGACATCAACTCCAGCATCTTGCATTGCATTAAGAGGAATTAGTTGTGGAAGTTTCAGTTTTGAAACTGCTGGTTATGAAATTCCTGCTCTTGGTGGCAAGATTTACTTGATTAAAAGATTGGGGATCAGGCTAACTGTGCTCCAAAAGGTGAGTGATGTGACAGAATTCAATTCCCAGGTTCCTCTCTTGTGATGACAGTGTGGAATACCTGTCTGTGGTGGATGTAACCTCTTCCATCTCAAATTAAAACGATGTAATTAGTCAGCAGGTGCAGTGGGTCCTGGGATCATAAATAAATTAAATGCATTTTGATGAATGAGTACAGACCTGGTACTTGAACTAAGGAGAGCTGAGAGTAACTAGTTATTTGATTCAGTCTTATCTTCATATGAGATTATTTTTCTTTCCTGTATGGTGCCATAGGAGTCTGTGCCTTCTGTACTCTTGTTCAACCCTTAACATGCACCTGAATTACTGCTCTGCAGCTAAGTGTTGTTGTCTTCATGGTACACTAAGCTTTTATTTGTATACCTGGTAGGTACAGTGCATAAAATTAAGCATGCTTTAAAACTAGGCAGCTTTCCCACCTGAGCTATCTGCTCAGAGATCTTGCTTAAGTGGATAAAAACTGCAAAACTTTGCTGTGGTGGTGAATGCTGCAGTTCATGGTGCCTGTGTCCATCTGCCCTGACCAGATGGAAATGACTCCCAGTGGTGTGCTTGTTGAGAGATTTATTTGTAGCTAAGGCTGTGTTTAATAAAGACTATCTGGGAGCTGGCCTGGCTCCTCAAAGGAGGGACTGAAAGGGAGGGACTTAAGTCTTGAAAGAGTTGATCTCAATCAATGCTGACAGAGACCAGGAAGGAGCTGAAGAAGCAGGATGGGCCATGGGCCTCCAGGACAGAGGGGCTATAAAGAGACAACATTTTTAATTCAAAGAACTTCCATTCACTCCACATCTCCCCACCCTGAAAAAAGAGCACTGGAGATGAGTCCCTTCATGGATCAAAATATACTCTAAGGTAGAAAAAACCCAAAACATTTTCTCCATGTGTTTCTCAAGTCTTTCTAAAGTTTTTACTGAAGCATCATGGAAAACCACCCCTTTCTGACTAAAAAGATGTGAAATGCTCCCTGGGGAAGCTTAGAGGCTAAAAATGCCCTATTGACCTTATAAAGCTTGAGAACTATTAGGCTGAGCTAATACATACCTTTGGGCAGCATTTATGTCTTTTCCCCTTACCTTGTGTGGCCCCCAAGAGCAAAGCCAGCAACCAGTGCTCACAAGAAATAATGGTGCTAGACTTTGGGTGTGAAGGAGAGGGACAACCATGACTGGACAGGGGAATGGTTTGACTTCCTGCCTGCCTGTTTCAGCTCTAAAGTGCTTTCCTGGAGATACCATGTCATTAACAGGTAGATGACCATGGTAGGTGAATTTGTCCTGCTCAGTTTCTGCCTCTTCAAACTTCTCTGCTAAACACAGAATTTTCCTGGACAGGCCATCAGGTAACTCCCCAGTTCCATCTGGTTTTGCCACACAATCCTTCTTTTGACAATTTTAGTTGCAATACCAACCATCTGTGATGGCCTCATTACCTGCCCACCCCCAGTTTTCACCTTATCTTCCCACATTGACTGTGCAAGTCCACAGCTGTTGTCTTGATGCTGGTGACAGGAGGACCATTTTGGGCAGCTCCTTGCTAGTATTTCCTATATCCTTCTGGCTGCCATTGCTAGTCAAGGACCTTGATTTTTGTAGTCCTATTGTAGCTCCACGTGCTAAATGTTGTGTTGTCTCAATTGCTCTGCTGCTTGAAAATGCTCTGTATTTTAGTGTGTCATTATGCAATTCATTTCAATTGCAATTCCCATCATCTCTTCTGCAGGCATGCAACCCAGCAGGAGACTAACAAAACCATCACGACTAGCACCAAAGCCATCAAGCAGCTGTCTGAGGTTGTCAGAGGCTCATCCAGGGTACGTGTCATTCAAGATGCTGTTGGGGGAAAGTGCTGGGGCTTATGGAGGGAGGAATAAAGAAAAATGTGGTAGTGGGTGCTTTAAAGCTGTTAAGCTCCAGGTCTTGTTGTAAGCTCCATCTCCTTTCAGGTTACACAGTAAGCATAATTTGCATTTATAAATGATCCATGAGATAAGGGCTTCAGAAACCAATTCTCCCAAAACTGGAGTTCTCTTCTCCCAAGATTGGATCATGTGGAGCTGGAAATCAAGAAATCAGTAACAAAACTTTACTCACTCACAACCTGGCTCAGGGTTGGGTGAAAGTACTGCAAGAACCCCCTTGGCTCCACAGGAGTCTGGCATTGGTTAAAGACTCAGTTGTGCAGTGGGTGCCCTGGGTGCAGATGAGTTTGGAAATGTGACAAAGTGTCTGGAAAAAGCAAAATGACAGAGTATGTCTGGATATGGCATTCGTGGAGTGCTGTATGCTAGGGTGGAGGCAGAGGTGGAGGCAGGTCATTACAGGCTGTGACCAGGATACAGCAGGACTCTGAATTACAGTTTACCCCATGTCAACCCCATCTGTGGTACAGACAGACTGGTCTTCTGCCATCAGTAGGCTCAACTCATATGAACATCATTGTCCCAGGGGTATGAGTGATCCCCATCCTCTGGTCCCCAGTGCAAAGCTTGGAAAAACAGAAGATTTCTGAGCTTGCCACAAAGACCCTTATACTGGTTTTGGTCTGTGGGATGCATGGTGGGGAAGAACAAAAGCATAAGTGTGTGTGGTAAGCTCTAGTTGGTGTGAGAGTGGTGAAGTTTCATCCACATAACAGGTGATTCATCAGCTGAAAGGAGAACAAGGATGATTCTTTCATACTTTATTCTGCCTAGCAATTTTCTGTTACATTCTTGCTTCCAGCATCCACATAGTTTCTTGTTCAGGAATTTATCTGAATTGGTGTTTTACCCTCACTTGCTGCCTGCCATTCTCCAAAGTCCTCTATTACTTCAACTCTGTTCTCACTGTCCTCCCACCTAGAAAAGACACTGCTCTAAACACACATCTCTGTCCAAGTGGTTTTTACAGCCTGGATTTATGTTACTCGTGAGCAAGCATCTGAGATAAGGATTTGAGTGCTGAATCACACCAGGCTTCCTTTGTAACCAGTGGAGAACCACGTGCAATTCAGCCCAAGTAAAAAAGAAATGAATGGGTGGTGGTCTTCTCCAGAGGAAGACCTGGCATGACTGTTCTTCTTACGTAGACATTGACCTTATGTAGGCATCAACCTGAATATTTTGATCTTTGCTGACATGCTGCTTTCATTAGTCATGGACTACAATTACTATTTCATTTTCCTTTTCCTTCCACACTCTGAGAATAATTACATCAATGCTTGATGAAAAAAGAGTTGCCTTTTTGGAGATATAAGTATCTGGGCTGTTTCATGTTGATCTCCTGGCTCCCTTTTGTGACATAAATTGGGTCCAAAGGGGAATCAGGCAAGGTTACATTAAACTGAATTAGAGTGCCACATAGGAGTGTCATTATTTATCCTTGAAGCCCTTGTAGTGTTCACTGGGGACACTCAGCAAAATAGCTTTTACTGTCATGGAGAGACAAATTGCTAAGTTAAAGGGAGAATATTTAAGTGCTGAAGGAAAATAGACACACAAACAATTATGGTAATATGAGGAATAAACTTACTGCTCTCTCTTGGCATCACATAATAACTCCCCGGTCAATTCATTTAACAGATTTTATTTTTTTTTAACTCTTCTTTCCTAAAAATGTGCAGTTTAAGTAATTAAACCTACAAATTTGTTATAAAGCCTGCAGCCCTCCTGTCTTACATAGAGTAAATAGATCTGGTGGGTATTGGCAGCTGGTTGGCAGGTCCCTGCAGGGGATCTGGGTAGCTTTGCAAACTTTCTTCCCACAAAATTTCTCACAGCATGAGAAGCATTCCATTCATTTGGTGCTTTACACTCAGTCCATTCTGATCCATTATTCTTTGTATTGCTTTGCATATACACACAGACAAAATGTTCCCTTCCTTCCTTCCTTCCTTCCTTCCTTCCTTCCTTCCTTCCTTCCTTCCTTCCTTCCCTCCTTCC